TCAGAGGGTTAAGTGTGTGTGTGTGTAACAGCTCAAGTCACAGAGATCGAATTATTCTCTGCATATATCCACACTTTGTTTTAACACTGTAGTTGTTTTTTGTCAGTGACGAGGAGAAAGTTTTGTTCATGTTTGCTCCATGTTGTTAAAGGGAAACTGCTGTTTACAGTCCTGCTCTTGGGTCTGGTGTGGTCAGGGTTGGTTTGGTTTGGTGGGTTTTGGTGAGTTTTGGCAAAGTTCTGTGTCTGTTTTTAAATCAAATGAAACTGAATCTGATTTCAAATCATCTGGTTTATGTCACTCTGCCCGCACACACACTGCCCGGACACACACTGCCCGGATACACTCTGCCGGGACACACTCTCTGCTCGGTCTCTGGCTTTGACGCTCTGGTTCTGTCCCGGACTTCCCCGCGCGCTGAGGCGGAGTTTGGTTCGTCTGGCGCGGGCACAGTGAAGCGCACATCAGTGCACATCGTGTTTTCATGGGCGCGTTTGTTTGATGGGTGTGTGTTTTCTGTTTGATGGGTGTGTTTGGTTAAAGGGGCTGGAGGAGCTCCGGAGGCGGACCGTCACCGGAGCCTGACCGCGCCCCGCAGTCTGAGCTCCGTCAGCGGGTGGACCCAGCAGCGCAGTCCGCCCCGCACTCCTCGGCTCTCGGTCTCTTCTCTCCAGACCGTCCCGTGTCTTTCTCGTCTCCCGTGTCTTTCTTGACTCCCGTGTCTTTCTTGACTCCCGTGTCTCGCGCAGGATGTCCGGGGTGGCCTCGCGCCTCGCCAAGGAGCGCGCGCACGCGGCGGGTTTCGGCACAAACGCCAAAGCGGTGCCGTTTCTGAACCAGCGCTTTGAGGATCTGCGCGCGGAGTGTCAGCGCAGCGGGCAGCTCTTCTGTGACAGCATGTTCCCCGCGTCTGCGCAGGCGCTCGGGTTCAAAGAGCTGGGCCCGGGCTCCTTCAAGACCCGCGGGGTCACGTGGAAGCGTCCCACGGTGAGTGACGCATTTACCGGGTTTACGGTGTGGACCGAACCGGGACAGAGCCAGGAAGGGCGGGGCGCAACATCTGCTGCTCCGGGGGAAGTGTCTGCGCACAGGCCCGAGCTGTCCTGGTCTGTCCTGGTCTGTCCTGGTCTGTCCCGGATCTAACACGAGTCAAACATGAGTCTAACCCAAACACCTCTGGGTTAGGGTTAGAGACAGAGAGACAGAGAGACAGAGAGACAGAGAGACAGAGAGAGAGGGGGATGGGGGAGGGAGAGAAGGAGGTAAAGTTTGCACACGGCCCGAGATGAAACAGGATGAAATCAAAGGAAAACTGATTAAATGTGATGAAATAATCTGGAGTTTTGTCTAAACCTCAGAGACAGAGACAGTGTGTGTGTGTGTGTGTGTGTGTGTGTGCGTGGGGGGTGTGTGTGCGCGTGTGCGTGACTCAGGAAACCGCACTGTGGAATGTTCCTCTGCGCGTGCACGTGTGTATGAGCGTGCACGTGAGCAGTAAACAGGAATCTCCTGTGGTCTGACGTACGGTGTTACTTCAGTTCGTAGTACTCTGAAGTACTCGCAGTACTGTGTGCTGACGCCTTTGTGTACACGCCCAAAGCTCTGTATGAAGTACTCTGAAGTACTTTGTAGTACTCGCAGTAGTGTTTGATGCCTCTGTGTACACGCCCAAAGCTCTGCGTACTCTGTTGTAAAAGTACTGCTCCGGGGCACTGTCAGTTAAACTGAAGTATTCAGGACACGTCCAGATGTTTCCTTTGTGTACTCTGAGTTCTCTGAGTACTGCAGTACTGCATAGTGTATAGTACTGTGTAATACTATGTAGTACTGTGTAGTACTGTGTAGTACTGTGCAGTGTTAGTACTGTAGAAGTACCAAACAGAGCAGTGTCTGTTTATGAATGGAATGCAAATATTTGTGAAGTTTGGTGTGTAGTACTGTAGTACTGTAGTGTTGTAGTACTGTAGTACTGTAGTGTTGTAGTACTGTAGTACTGTAGTACTGTAGTAGTGTAGTACTGTAGTACTGTAGTATTGTAGTGTTCTAGTACTGTAGTGCTGTAGTGCTGTAGTACTGTAGTAGTGTAGTACTGTAGTACTGTAGTAGTGTAGTACTGTAGTAGTGTAGTACTGTAGTATTGTAGTGTTCTAGTACTGTAGTGCTGTAGTGCTGTAGTACTGTAGTACTGTAGTAGTGTAGTACTGTAGTGCTGTAGTACTGTAGTACTGTAGTAGTGTAGTACTGTAGTGTTGTAGTACTGTAGTACTGTAGTACTGTAGTAGTGTAGTACTGTAGTATTGTAGTGTTCTAGTGCTGTAGTGCTGTAGTACTGTAGTAGTGTAGTAGTGTAGTACTGTAGTACTGTAGTAGTGTAGTACTGTAGTACTGTAGTACTGTAGTAGTGTAGTACTGTAGTAGTGTAGTACTGTAGTGCTGTAGTACTGTAGTAGTGTAGTACTGTAGTGTTGTAGTACTGTAGTACACACAAACTGTACACACA